TATCGGTCACCACCTGAGATGTCAGTCACCACCTATGGAGGTGTGTCCTGCAGACCCTGACTCAACTAGAGATGAACAAATGCACACCCACTTGATTTGAGTGGACTAGGGATGGTCATCAGCTGCTTTCAGAGGTTGAATGAACCAACTGAGACCAAGACTCCCAGTACATCCTCACATTTATTCAGTATGGATTTCATAACAGAGGTTCTAAGTCAACATGCTTGTGGATAATTAACATGGTTGAAAGAGTGATTTTATGAATGGTAAAAGCTTTCGGGTCCAGGGCCCAGAGTAAACACGATTAACTGGTGATTCCCCTTTGACCTCTCCCTGAGAGGACCATGGCACAAAGTTTACATGAACAAATTAGAGTAGAGACAAAGGAAAGTGGGGTAAGCAGACTTAACTGGGAAAGCCTCTTAACATCCCTATCTTGTCCCTGTGCTAACGTAATTGAATCAGCTGCCTTCAGCCTGCCCCAAAAAACCTTTTGGCCTTTTAAAAGGTTTGAGACTCTAATCAATAACTTTCCCTTATATTTCCCTAATATTTTGCCAGCCACCCCAAGTAAACCCCAAAAGTTTTCCATTCCAAGAGGGAGAAAAAGCAAGAAGAAAGGGTATTGGTTTTAAACAAGTCTGAAGCACATTGATACAGGGATAGGGCCCCCAAGGCCTTTGGTATCCTTACCTATTTAGATTTGCTGGCCTTAGTCCACTCAGCTCTTCCACACTGGTATCGGGTGTTGGTTGCTCTACAGCTCTGGATTCTTGGTGGCTTTCCTGCTCCCAAGACTCCAGTGGACTTTGCCTTAATAGAAACTCTGCAGCAGCTCCAACCCAACATTTCTGCTCAGCATTGCTCTAGTAGGGGTTCCCTGCAGTGCTTCCATTCCTACAAGTCTCTTCCCTTGACCCCTATTATTTTGATGACATCTCTTGAAATCTGGGTGTAGGCTGCTAATCCTCCACAGCTCTTGCTTTCTGCATACTTGCAGTATTAGCACACGATGAATGCCACTAAGGTTTATGATCTGCTTTACAGAGCTGTAGCATGAGCCACACCTGGGGCTATGTCATGACTGGAGCAGCCACTGAGTGCTGTGCTGGAGTGTGGGGTTCCAAGTCAGAGAACTGAGGACACTCTGGGAAGTCAGTCCATGGACAGGGCCCTGGGCCTGTCCCCTGAAACCATTCTGCCTTTGTAGGCCTCAGGGCCTGTGATGAGAGCAGCAGCCTTGAAGATCTCTGCAATGCGTTTAGGATCTATAATCCAATATCTTGTGGAATTGAACCTGCTTCTTTTCTATCCATACCACACCCTTGGTTTCCTCTCCTGAAGACATTTTATTTCACTCTTTAGGCTAGGCTAAAATGTTTTCAAATCTCTCCACTTTGCTTCCCTTTTTATTTTTAAACTATTCTAACTTATTCCTTTGCTCCTAAATCTCAGGTTAAACAGCCTGAAGTAACTCTGTAGCTCCTAAAATTTGCTTAAAACACATTTCTGCCAGACGTTCTAGTTTTTACTCTCAAATTTGGCCTTCCACAAAGCCCAAGAGCATCCACAGTTCAGGCAGCATATTTGCCAAATTGTTACAAGGATGGCATTTACTGCAGTTTTCAATACGTTGTTCCTCAGTTCCATCTGAAGCCTCATCAGAATGAAATAGCCTCATTGCCTGGGGTGGCACCTAAAGTTCTTGGTCTCATGGCTGAGGAAATCCAGGAGGTGTACACACAAGGGGTGACATCAGAGCAGAAGCAGAAATTTAGTAGGTGAAAGAAAGAGGACAGCTCTCTGCAGTGGGAAAGGGTTCAGGAAAGGATTGCAGTTTTCACAGTTGAATGCACAGGCTTTTATAAGAAACCAGTGAGGCCTGGGTGTCTCATTTGCATAAGCCACAGATTTCTAGTAAATCCACCCTTTCCCCAGATGTGCATGTGGGCCCTTAGCTTGACTTACTCTGTATTGCTTTTGTGATATAGCTGGCCTAGAGTTAGAACCTGTACAAAGCTATTATATAAAAGACGAAACTGTTTCCATGCTCCTCACAATGACTGCTAACCTTGGCTTCTGTAAACTGCTAGATTACTTTGCAGAATGCAGAGAGGTAAAGCTGCATACCTTCTCTTATCTGTAACTGCCAGAATTGCTGGCCTTTGTTTACCAGTAATGACCAGAGTAAGCACCCCCAGCTAATTCCATCCTGGCACTAAGTAACTAAAAATCTGTGGACCCCACACCTGCCCAAATAATGTATAAACTAATGTTTATCTTGATTCTGTAAACAACTTAAGTGGCTATCAGAATGACAAAAGTCCTCTGGCCCTTGGAATGTCCGGAGCCCCTCACCCTCATCTCAGCTCAGAAGGTGATTTACAGTCCCCAAAATGTCTGGAGCCTTTCACCCCATCTCCGCTCTTCACACCCACTCCCAAGGTGGTTTTGCAGGTATTAAAAGGTCTTGTCATCCTTCTTTCTCTGCCATGGGTTGGAGAGATGTGAGTCCTCTGTGGTCGCTGGCAATAAACCCTGCAATTTGGCATACTTTTGTCCTGGTGTTGACTTTCTGTGCTCGGTCCAATACAACACTTTGTTCCCCTTACTGAGTATGTGTCTGGGGATGGAATTTTTTACTGTGGGCATGTCTGGGCAAGTCACCTGAGTTGCCTTTTTTAATCTGTGTGACTGTGGGCACTTTAATAACATTCTAATTGAAGGCAGAATCCGTGTCTCAAAAAAATGTAGGAATCAAATCACCACTTCTTCCTGCTAATAGTGACATAATTGAGGCTAAAATTTGGTTTTAGAAGACATTTTCCTCCTCGCTGTCAAAGAGAGAGTTTTATCACACACAAAAGGAGAACAAAATGACGTCACTGGTAGAAGGGCACAAAGGAGAGAAGAGTTGGAGAACTAGAGGTTTTTAGCAAAGAACCAACAAGATTCCCCATAAAGAGAATTCCCATTCCACCAGCTGGAACTTTAAACCTTGAAATGGAAGACATTTCTTTTTTCCATATGCTTTTCGGACAAAGATAAAGAGAGACATCTTAGGCACAGTAGTCCATCCCCATAACATGCCTCCCAGTTAAAAGAAAGTTAGTTTGCCTCATAGAGAGACTATCCAGTTCAACTGGGAAGTTATGGCTCCTCACATAGAAAAAGAAACAGCCTGAGCCAGGAGCAGTGGCTCATGTCTGTGTTTCCAGAACTTTGGGAAGCCTAGGCGTGAGGATCAGTCAAAGTCAGGAGTTTGAGACCAGCCAGGCCAATGTGGTAAATCCCTGTGTCTACTAAAAACCCCAAATGAGCTGGATGTGGGGGCACATGCCTCTGATCCCAGCTACTCAGGAGGCTCAGTTAGGAGAATTGTTTGAAAATGGGAGGAAGAGATTGTAATGAGCCGAGATCCTGTCACTGCACTACTCCAAACAAGAGCAAGACCCCATCTCAAAAAAAAAAAAAAATGGAGAGGGGGCATTCATTGGAGGGAAGTAACCCACCATCTAAGTTGAACTCAAGGAAGGGCCATTATTGGGAGTTAGATAATCTCTTAAATCTGGATCATGAAATCCCCGTTTGTAGAAAATCACAAAAACAGCAATCCCTTAAGCTAAATTCTTGGTTACTACAGCACCCACTAATTCTGCCTAACAGGAGTCTCTGTCTAGGCTGTAAAAACACTTTCTGCACTGCATACAGAGAGGGAGCAGTAGCTACAGAAAGGAAGGAAGGAAACTGCAATAGGAAAAGTTTGGAAATCCTGTGGCTGATACCCAATTGACTGGAGTTAGTCCAAGGGCATTCAGGTGATGCTGACGTGTGGCCTTAGCCAGAAAGTCTCAGTTGTTCTAGGACCTTCTTCCAGATCCAAGTGATGGCTAGGCTTTCCATGAAAGGAAGCCAGTTCAGAAGACAGCCAATATCCCCAGCACTGTGAGGGTCCAGGGGGATTAGCTAAGTCCTCCCTGGCAAGACTGTCATCTGAGTCTTTAGAACAGCAGCCACACTGATCATATTTAGATGACTGACAGATGTCCCTCATTTTTCTTGATTTTAATTTTTTGATCAAAGATCTTTAGTCTTACCTCTCAATACTGCCACATTGAGGGTTATGTTTCAAAAGGAGTTTTAGTGGGGGGGAATTCAAACAATAGCAATAAAGAAAACATAAATTTAATTCCTTATCTCACATTCTATACAAAAATAACTCAAAATGGTTCCTAGACCAAGATGTAAAAAAACTGTAAAACTTCTAACCTGCAAACTGGCAAAAATCTACACACCATAAGATTGAGGAAAACTTTTTCAACTATAATACCCAAAGCATGATCCATAAATTAAACACACACACACACACACGCACACACACACACACACACACACCAAGTTAAACTTTATTAATGTTTTCTCTGTAAACATCACTTTTAGGGGAAAAAAAAGGCACAGACTGGAAGAAAATACTTGGAAGTCACATTTGTGGCAAAAGTATTGTAACCACAATGTAAGAACACTCAACAGAGAATTGTACCAACATATCTTGCCCAATTTTAAGATGGACCTCTGTTTTCAATATACACCTTAATAAAGAAAGTTTATAAATGCAAATAATGCATATTAAAAGATGCACAAGGTCATTACTTATCTGAAAACTCTTTATTAAAACAGCAATGGGGTAATTCTACATATCTGTTAGACTGGCTGAAACAGCTGACAATACCTAGGGACCATGTGGAGCAACTGAAACACTGACCTCACCATCAATAAGGAAGCAAAATAGGGCAGACCCCCTTGGAAATTCATTTGGCAATTTCTAATAAAAGAAAACATACACTTAGCATCTAAGTCATCAATCCTACTCCTTGGCATTTGTCTAATAAAGTTGAAAATTTATGTTGACAGAGAAACCTTTATGCAAATGTTTATAGAAACTTTATTCGTAATTGTGCCAAACTGGAAGCAACTCAGAATTCCTTCAACTAGTAACAGGCACCATCCTCCTGATGCTATGGAACTGTGAGAGAAGAGTCAGACGTAGGCTCCCAGGGACGCATGAATCTCTGTGAGACACTGTACCAGCTGCTGAAACTTGGGCCTCTCCTCCGGATCTAAGGCCCAGCAACAGGCCATGACAGCAAACAATTCATCAGGACAGTTGATTGGCTGGGCTATTCGGTAACCATCTTTCAGGTATGCTGCCATCTCGAAGGCGTCAATGTCCACGTAGGGCGTCTGGCCCAGAGTCATGAGTTCCCACAGTGTCACTCCAAAGGCGCAGACATCACCAGCAGCAGAGAACTCGTTATTAACCAGAATTTCAAGAGCCATCCGACGAACTGGCCTGTTTTCATTGTCCCCCAGACAGTGATAGTCCATGGGGAACAAGTCTCTGGAGAGGGCATTGTCTGTGAAAACAAGTTGATATCACATAAAATGCAAAATACCTACCTACAAAAAAGCAGAACCAACTACTGATTTACGTAGAAAGTTGGATTTATTCTTCAATGCATTTGCTAAATGAAGAAAGCAAAGCAGAGAAGGACACACATTGTGGTTTAGTCAGTTTGAACTACTCTAGCAAAATACTAGACACTGGGTTGTTGAGCAATGGACAGTTATTTTTTCAGAGTACTGGAGACTGACATTCAAGATCAGGGTGCAAGAGAGTCAAATTCTGATCTCGTCTTGCAGGTTACATTATTGCAGACTTCTTGTTCTATCCTCACAGGATGAAGAGTAGAGAGGGGAAAAGAAGATCTCTAAGGAGTCTTATGAGGGCCCTGATCCCACTCATGAAGATTCTGCCCTCATGACCTCATCTAATTTTCATCCTGTTAAATGTCTCACTTCCTAACACTATTATATGGAAGAGTAGAGTCTAAACATATAAATTTTGGGAAAATACAAATATTCAGTCTACAGCATATTGTAAAATTTAATTTACATGACATTATAGAAAATAAATTTAAAAAGTACAGGGACCAAAATCAGAGCAGTAGGCATCAGGTGTTGGGGTTGTTATTTCTAAAGAATATAATAGAATGAGTAAACTTACGTATTATGACTCTGATAGTAGATATATGTCTCTACGCATTTGTCAAACTCTCAGAATTCTGAATACTATTCAGCATTATAAAGGAATAAATGATACAATGGCTTGGATGTATCACAGGGATATTAAAATAATTTTTAAGCTAATATAAAAAAATTACATATTATACAATTTCTTTTCTATAACATTTTGAAGTGAATAATTTTAGCTGTAGATAACAGATTAGCAGTTGTCAGATGTTAGGGGCAGGGGCCATGGATGTAACTACAGAGGAGTATCCTAAGAGAATTTCTCTTTGTTGATGAGGTAGCTCTGTATCGTGATTGTGATGGCTATACAAATCTTATCACGTAAAGGAATTGCACGGAATTGCATACATGTACAAACACACACACAAACATGAAAGCATGAAATTTGAATAAGTTCTATAGATTTGTATTAATACCAATTTTCTGAATTTGGTATTACAGAAATGTAAAATAATACCCTTAGGAAAAAGTAAAAACGTAGTTCGGACCTCTTTGTACTACCTTTTAACTTTTGTGAGTCTATGTTCCTATTTTAATAAAAATATTTTTAGATTATATATAACTGTATACCACAAATAATAAATTTTACTGTTTACATTTTTAAAAATCAAATAGGAAAGGAGAGCATATTAGTCTGCTGAAACTGACACAAAATGCCAAAAACTGGGAGGCTGAAACAGCAACGATTTTTCCACAGATCTGTAAACTAGAATTTCAAGATCAAGTGCCAGCAGCACTGGTTCCTTAGAACTCGCTTCCCGGCTTGCAGATCGCAGCCTTCATGCTGGGTCTTTACATAACCTTTTCCATTGTGCTACCACATTCCCGAAGGACTCCAGTCACGGAGGTTACAGTCCCACCCTTATGATTACATTTAACCTTAATTATCTCTTTAAAGTCCTTATTTTCAAATACAGTCATAGTGGAATTAGGGCTTCAACATGTAAGGTTTAGGGGATCACAATTCATTCTTAACAGAGGGAAACTGAAAGTAGAATAAAATCAGTAAAAAATAAACCTAACTATATTTCAAATTAATAATTAAACCAAAGAGAGTAGGGATGAAAAAAGACATACCTCTCTAACTATTTGGAAAATAGTGTTTTCAATGGGTGGTATAAAATAAAAAATAATCTCTATGCAAATACTGTATTCTTTTAATAATATTTAGTAATTGTTTTCCTCACAGGTTTATAATTCTAAAACTATGTTATGGGTATATTAGCTTTTAATCAATCAATCAATAATAAGTAATTACAACTTAGTTTCTTATTGAAAAAATAAGTTATCTGGTGTTGAAATATATATCTCCTTAAAATATGTATTTACATAAGTTAGTATACAATATATATATATATTTTACATAAGTTAGTATACAAGATTCTACTTCCTTGCTCTATTGAGAGGCCCTAGAAACAATACAGTCTTTGTACCTGCTGTAAGTCAGTACTTGAGACTTGGTAATTTATAAGAAGGTTTAATTGGCTCAAGGTTCTGCAGACCCTACAGGAAGCACAGCTACAATTTGCTTCTGTAGATACCTTAGGAAACTTGCACTCTTGGCAGAAGGCAAAGTGGGAACAGGCACATCACATGATGAGAATGGGAGCAAGTGAGCTAGGGGGATATGGTATCTTCTGGGGTGGAGAGAGAAAAAGAGAGAGAGAGAGAGAGAGAGAGAGAGAGAGAGAGAGAGAGAATGTGCCGGGGAATGGCACAGAGTTTTAAACAATCAGATCCCATGAGAAGGCATACACTTTCACCAAGCCGTGAGAGATTCACTCCCATGACCCTAACAACTCTCACCAGGTGCTTTCTTCAGCATTAGAAATTAAAATTCAACATAAGGTCTGGGTGGAACAAATATCCAAACTATATCATATTTGTAACAATGAATACAATTAATACACTCATTTTTTGTCTCTAAATATAATTTTCTAAGAAAAGAAACAAGGGTTTCTTGGATAAATGATTGATTCCAGAGTTGTGGTAAGGAAAATCAAGTAGTGCCTGGAGAATCATAGGGTACTAGACAGTAGAGAAACGCTGAGACAGAAAGACGGACGGACGGACGGACGGACGGACGGACAGACAGACAGACAGACAGACAGACAGACAGACAGATAGATAGATAGATAGATAGATAGATAGATAGATAGACAGACAGACACGGACATAGACATAGATGCACTCATGTTGAAAGAACAAGACATTCTGAAAGAACTCCAAATAGCCAAACCTGAAACAAACTTAGCCACAACATTAACAATAACAATAATATAATATTATAAGCTATGGAATAAAATCAATCTGTATGAGTTCATATTTTTATAAATAAATGCACAAATTGAATGAACAGATTATTGGGAGACAAGGCACAGTTCCTCCTTACAGAAAAATTTTAATGAATAATATAGAATGAATGAGGGAAACAGAATATCACCATTAGAACACCACAGTAATAATGAAAGAAGGCAAGATTCATAATGAATAACAAAATTGGAGATAAAAAGCTTGATGAAAAACAAATATTTGCATAGTCTCCAAGGATCTTTCTTAAGATATGTATTAGTTACAAAAGAAGAAATAATAACTACAGGAAAGAAAATCAGAAACCTCGCTTTAATCAAGCGATCGAAGTTGCGTCTGCGACATCAGGTATGTTACCACTATCTTGCCATGATTCACTGAGAAGGGCAAATGCCAGATATTACTCTTGCCAAAAAAAATGTGTGTCCAATCTAATCATGAAAAGCTATTAGTGAAACCCAAATTGAGGGGCATTCTAGACAATATCTTAGCAACATTCTGCAAAAGTGTCAAGGTCATTGAAGACAAAGAAGGTCTGAATAATTGTCAAAGATTGGAGGAGACATAACATCCAAATGCAATTTTACATCTTAGATTGAACTCAGGAACAGAATAGTCAAAACTGGTAATACCAGTGAAAAGGGGAGGGCCAGTGGGAGGGGGAGGTGGGGAGGGATAGCCTGGGGAGAAATGCCAAATGTGGGTGAAGGGGAGAAGAAAAGCAAAGCACACTGCCATGTGTGTACCTACGCAACTGTCTTGCATGCTCTGCTCATGTACCCCAAAACCTATAATCCAATAAATATTAAAAAAAAAAAAAAAAAAAAAAAAACTGGTAATAGCTAAATAAACCTTTAGCTTTGTAATTAGCTTAGTATTAATAAACATATCTTCATTTTGTGATTTAGCAAAACATTATTAGGGGATATTGAGTGAAGGGGGCACAGAAAATATCTGTACTATTTTTCAACTTTTTTATATGTATTAAACTATTCCAAAAGATAAAAGACATGAGAATAATAAATTTAAGTCTGATTTTCAGCTTTACAGTTTTCATACAATTTTAATGTCATTTATAATGTAATGTTTTCTTGCTATTAATGTCACCACATAAAATATCTAGACTTGTGGTAACTAAAAATAATAATGTATTTTTTTAATTACGTATTTTATATATTTTAGATATGGACTTTAATTCACTTCTGCAGTTCTCAAAATTCTAGGGTACGTTTTGTTCACAACTAAAATGAAGCTTATAAAAATATCTGCAGAAAATACATATAAGGCCTGATAAGATACAATACTACTGAATAGGGAAGATAGGAGTATTGTGTTGGATGGCTTTTTTTATTTCTTTTCAAATAAGAGAAAGAAAAGGATGCTTCCCCTTTGGTGTCTGGTGATATGACTTGTGGACCTTGTTAGCAATGCATACTGCAGGAGCTGTAATAGAAATGACTGTCTAATTGGCATTGTTTCCCAAGAAGTTATTATGTACCCACATAGCATGTGTCTTTTCAACATGACAATAATTAAATCACCTCAACCACTGCACGGAAGTGTGAGCTAGTTTAACGCATTGATGAATACCTAAGTTTTACAATTCTAGTGAATGTTACCTTAGGTGTGTTTTCAATAGGTGATTTTCATACACATTAACTTGATATATTTCACACTTCCCCCTAGCTCATACTTTAAAAAAAAAAGGCTCTGTGGCTGTTTCATCCTGAATATTAATAAAACTTGCTCTTTCTAAATTTAACACTCTCATCTGTACTAAACAAAGCACGACTTAGACTTTTCTTACCATTGCTGTGATGGGAGTGGGGGTGGTCATTCTAAAACACTGAAAAAATAGTATTTAAATAGCAGTAACACATCCTACTCTAATTTATAAAGTGGTACAGTTAGTTAAGAAACACTATTAGGGAATTATAATGGAATCGTCTTCTAACTCAGGATGTCAATATTCAAAATGAAAATAGGTTTAATAACCATTTCACTCCATGTTT